GGTTCAACCTCCAGAATTTCTAATTCAGCAGATCTAGGGTGGGGCCTGAGAATTTGTATTTTTAACAAGTTTCTAGACGATGCTGATTCTACTGGTCTTGTGACCACACCTTGAGAGCCACTAGAGTGGGTAGCACAGTGGTTCTCAACTGGGGACAATTTTGCTCTCCAAAGAATATTTGGCAATGTCTGGAGAGATTTTGGTTGTCAAAACTGGGTAGGTGTTGCTGCTAACATCAAGTGGGTGGAGCCCAGGTATGCTGCTAAACATTTTGTAGTGTGCCGAACAGCCTTTACAACAAAATTACACAGATCAAAACATCAGCATTGTGATTTAGAGAAACTCTGGTCTAACAGCTTTTCTCAACTAGGCTTCTACAATATATTATTAATTCTCCTCCAGTGCATCTAGAATGATGAGTCCTTGGAAAAATTGGAAAATAGTCACTTAACTTGGAAAAAAAATCATTTTTTTTGTGTTTGTAGCTCAAATGAAGAGCCTTGGTTGAGAAAATCTGTGTGGGGTATTTAAAGACAGAATAGATATTCTTTGGGATTCTTTGAGATAGGGGCCTGTCTAGTTATCTGAATGCAGTGGAATAGAGTCTGTGAATCCTAAAATCCTTTTTCAGCCTTCAAGTTTTATTTGAAAACATAAAAAATATTTTATCAGTAAATTAGACATAGTAAAACTCTACCTGGGTGAACATGTTATATACTTTATACATGGATTCCCTTTTACTTGACAGGGATTCACTTGTACTTATATTTGAATTTGCCTACAGGTGTTTTTGTGCTGCCTCTATGTCTTTTTATTTTATTTTTGAGACAGAGTCTCACTCTGTCACCCAGGATGGAGTGCAGTGGCACAATCTCAGCTCACTGCAACCCCTGCCTCCTGGGATCAGCAATCCTTCCACCTCAGCCTCCCTAGTAGCTGGGACTACATAGGCACACCACACCACACCACACCTGGCTAATTTCTGTATTTTTTTGTAGAGATGGGGTCTTGCCATGTTGCCCAGGCTTATGTCACTTTAGAGTGGCTAAAATGAAGCCTTCAAAATATTTGTGCTCCAGTGTGATATCTATGTACAATAGGAGTAGTTTTAGTATTAGTTAAGGTTTTAAAAAATTTCTTTGAAATACTAATTATCATAAATTTTGGTGTCACCAAATGTCACAAATTTATTTCCAACAATGCAAGAATCATTATGTATATTGAATTCTGAGTTTACTTCTTCTGTGCTATCCTTATTTATGTGAGCTTATTTTCAGTTCAACTTGAAACCTTGGATTGAGGTCCAGATTGTTACATGAGGCAAATGTAGAATATCACAGTTGACAAATAGTATTTATGGTCAGTAACTTAGAATTCTACCTTTCACCTTAAGGTACGGGTCCAAAGATTAATTAAAGTATAGGTGTAATTCCATAATTTATGTGTTATTCAGTGTTCTATTACACTACAATTGCCTTTTGTTGGTACCATGTTGTCCGTTAGCTTTGGCTCCTTCTCTGATGAGTGGAGTTTTGTTGGTGACTGCCTAGGTATATAAATAGTTTTCTGAATATTCTCTATAGTGGGCCTACATATTCTACTTGTTAAAATGTTATTTAAGTATCTGTGGAAATGGACTACAGCCAACCCCCTGGGGTTTCTAACCAGTCTATGGCCTGTTAGAAACTGGGCTGCACAGCAGGAGGTGAGTGGCAGGCTAATGAGCATTATTGCCTGAGCTCTGCTTGTTGTCACATCAGCTGCAGCATTAAATTCTCAAAGGAGTGTGATCCATATTGTGAACTACGCATGCAAGGGATCTAGGTTGTGGGCTCCTTATGAGACTCTAACTAATGCCTTGATCTGAGGTAGAATGGTTTTATTCCAAAACCCCCACTCACTCACCTGTCTCCCACTCCCTACCCCGCTCCCCCATCCATGGCAAAATTATCTTTCAAGAAAGCATTCCCTTGTGCCAAAAAGGTGCCATTTTGAAATGGCGAATTTGGAACAGTGCTACTGTCCTACTGGCTTTGTGCCAAATGGGATGAGTTTTCTTCCCTTTGGCCTAGAATATATGTCTTGAGTTTGTTACTATTTTTTTTTTTTTTTTGAGACGGAGTTTCACTCATGTTACCCAGGCTGGAGTGCAATGGCACCATCT